TAACTCGACATAACAAAACAAATTCATCGTTTACCTTAGCAGAAAAAATACGTCTGGAAATTATTTGAATACAGTTGAAACAAAAGAAGTGGAGGACGTCTTTGAAAAAATATTGGCGAGAGAAGGTAACTGAGAAAGCAAAATCAAGCAATTCACAACTATCCATGCATATAAATTGAATCAATAAATCCAACAAGATTGGAGATTGTACATTAAACATTTAACACCAACAGAAATGTTATCCAGTCTGGGTTTTTTCTAAGAAGGTTAGAATTTTTCCCCTACGATTCTATAAAGTTCTGACAAGCGCAGCAAATTCGCAAAACTTAAATATTATTTATTAGAATCGTCATTCATAATAATAATAATGCTTAATAATTATTTGTGAGGTATCTAAATTAGGTTTTAATAAGATGTAGATACGGCAGAGACGAAAAATTAGTCACGAACGGGACTCGAATCCACAACATCCGGAAGATGACATGGTTATCGCTACTTCGTCCCTCGAGACACCAACTTCATGTGAACCGACTAATACACTGATGGACAAAACTAACGTATTACTCTTAAATTGTAATGTACTTTAATGTACTTAATCATATTTTGCCCCAAAAATAGGTTCGTAAACAAAGGGTTGTAAAAATAAGACACTTAAAAAGAAAATGCTTATTTTCTAATTCTAAAAAAAAACTTTAAGTAAGTAAAAATTTAAAAACAAAAATATTTTTTTTAAAACTTTTGTTTGAACATGAAAACCAAGTATTTCCATCACGAATTAAGTCCGTTAAACGCCTTTGCACACCTTTGAAAAGATTTCTGGTAAAATTCTGAGGAATTTTTTTCTCATTCATTAAGAACAGGAGTTTCCAATTCTTCTAGGGTGTTAGGACCTGGGTTCGTCGCTTATGTTGGTTCCAAATGTGTTCGATTGTGTTCAAATCTGGAATCCAGCTGGACACGCCAAGCATTCAATTCCAACCTCAATCGGGTAGTCATCCACAATACGGGCACTATGGGGACTGGCATTATTTTGTATTTGGAAGAATTTCTCACCGATGAAGGCAAATCGCACTACATGCCTACATTGATTTCGATTATGTTTTATTGGTAAGTACCTCTGTGAAGTTAGAGATCGTCCTCACACAACAATCAATCAGTCCGTGCAAGGAAATGCCACTCCCAGAACATCGGCTCACCAAGTAATGCCACCTGAGGAACCATATGACATGGGGCGTACCTTTCTCCTGAGCGTCTCCATATGAACGGTCAACGAGCTGGGTGCCGGCCCCTGAGATTATTTTCACTGAGTCTTCTTCTTACCTCGGAGGAAATCGAAACCTTTCGGAATTGTCTGATCAAATTCCTTACATTATTTCCCGAAATACTGCGGTTTCGTAGATCCTGTTGACGGATGAATCTATCTCTCCTTCGGACGTAGGAATAGGATGACCCAGTGCCAGCCTTCAAGTTTGAAGCCCTGTTTTTCTGAAAAGCCGAAGAACCCCTTCTATTATACAGTGATTTACAATCGGTCTCCTGGCGAATTCGCGCTGGTTGTATTCTTCCTCTAATAATCTTATAATAATAATAACCCCCTTATAATAAGATCCTTAATAATAATAACCCAGACCTGTCATACTCAAATACCTGACTGGAGCCATTGAAAAATGTTTAATATTATCAATGAAAACAAATGAAATCAATGATGGAGAAAGTTTAACTGAAAGTGATCTTAGGGGTAGGGCTTAATGATACTTTTTGTGCAAATGGGACTAATCAGTACAAAAGTAAATAAAGAAAGTAAGCAAAGCATTATTTACTGTTTATTTTGTCTACGATAGCTGCTAATTGCCTGTAGCTAATGTAGACAGGTTTAATTTTAAACTAAATAAATTGAGTGGTTTGTTAACTTTGCCTATTAGAGTATTTAAATTTTCCCTCTTTTTTTCGCCAAATTTAAAACATTATGGCATCATATAGCTGCTCAATGACTAATACTACTACTAGCTACTATATTTGTTATAATACAATAATATAAAATAAAATAATTGCACAGTAAGCACAGTAAGGCAAGGAAAATACCGTCTGCCAGAGGTGCATGTAAAGATAAATAAAGCAACAAAAGAACAAAACAATACAAAAAAAGTGAACGAAGAATAAAAAATTGAGGAACATGCAAGTAAAGCCAAAAAGTAAAATAAAACAAATAGTAAGGAATCAAAATAAAATTGTACTAACATTAAAGATTTAGTTTTTTAACATAAATATAACTCCAAAATTTTACAAGAGGGTCGGTTCATAGTTTAGCCCACTGATGAGTTCATCTCTACACAGGGAACTACGGTCTAGGTGAAGCGTACGAATTGAAAAAATTACATAGGGCAAAAGGTACCTCCATCCAGGGGGTGTAATTTACCTAAGGCAGCTGATTAGAATCAAACAATAAATGGCAGAGGGCCACTCTATAATCGAGATCCCTATAAAGCAAACGAAAAAAGAGTTCATGTCACAGACTCTCCCGATGACGTAACTGATTCTACAAAAAGGGAATCGAGAGTAAGTTCCATTGGAAGATATCAAATTTAAGTTATGTGAAGTGGAATATTTAAAAAATAGAGTTTTTGCAATAAAAGATATTTGTTCGTGTATGTTAATTCAGGCTATAGTATTTTTATAATCTGTTGAGGGTTACACGATTTCAAAGTCCAGTGTTTACAGAAGAAAAAACAGAACAATATTATATATTCGACTAATCTCCTGCGATCATTTCGACAGATGTAATTTGGAAAACTTTTACCAAAGGGAAAAATCGATTCGTCGACCTTTGAGAGAAATATTTCCATGTTACAGTTATGGAGAGGTATAAATGATCCGGTTTTGAAAACATCGGTGAATCGGACGAAAAATAGATCCATTTCAAACTTTTCGAGCTGAAATTACACGGTTTATATCGCTAGAAAAGATTGAAAGAAACAAAGAAAAAAAAATATCATCGATATTCTTTAAATATTGGTCAGTTGTTTTCAATGCATAACATAACATTTTATTTCCAAAGAACTAGAACATGGAGGATTATGATTCAAGTGTCAATGTATATTATCAGGATGATTTTGTGCCGTATTATTTCCATAATAACCTGTAAAACAGACAGAATATTTTGTTATATTTTTCATGTTTTTGTCTTAATTCAATTTTTTTTTAATTTTGCCAAGTTACTCTTTTAATATGATATATTTCCTTGGAACTTTAGGAACTTTTTCTTTTTTTGTGCGCAAATTACGATGTAGGGTTTTATTAATTAATCCAAAGTAGAAGACATAATATTTTTGTATTCGATATTTTCGTGGCATTTCCTCGCCTAGGGATGGCTAGGGGATTTTTACCAAAATCTCCTTTACAATTATATTTTAAATTAACTTTAAAATTTACATTTAAATTATATTTAATTAGCTTACTTTTGAAACTGCTATTTCTAGGCTATTTACCTTACTATTTACTCCCAATCCACTACACCAACAAGTTTTTCCTTCTTCCTCAATAATTTCACTAATTTCGTGGTCCGCTTGACCAATATATATCACAATTAATTAAGGTTTTTTGGTTGAGATAAAAAAGTCAATGACACGAGCGGGATTCGAACCCACGATCTTCGGCTAGATACGCCGCTGCTAAATTTGTTAGTGTCTGAGTGGATCGAGGTCACGATAGCTCAAGTGGTAAAGCAGCGGCGTATCTAGCCGAAGATCGTGGGTTCGAATCCCGCTCGTGTCATTGACTTTTTTATCTCAACTAAAAAACCTTAATTAATTCCTCAATGATTTTCTCCCAAAGAAGTAAAGTAGGTATTAACTAGTACTATAATCTAGAAAATAGACTAATTTTAGTTCTGGCCTAATTATTCCTGAATATTATTCTCATAAGAAAACCGAATATTATCGTATAACGCACCAACTCACCTTCCTAGATCATACAGACCTTATCTATGAGTATTTTGCCTATAATCTGTAAGAGTCTAGAAAAAGAATTCTTTCTCCGCCAATGAAATAAAATACCCCACAGTATTCTTCATTAGTCTATCGTAGTTACACTTGACTACCCATGCTTCCCCGCATTCCAGACGCCATTATCAAAGCCGAACTGGCGTCTTTCTGGACATACAAAGTTATTTGTCACTATATTCTTTGTACACGAATCGTATCTTATAAACAGTTAATTTCATACACGACAATACCAGTTGATTTGCCCTTTTAAAAACTGTACATCCTTCAATTAAAATTTCATTTTAAATCCAGGCTGAAAACGCCTGAGCGTGTGTTCGTGATTCGGCTAAAAGAAAAACGCTATTCTGCAATCTTGAAAAGTGGCAGTAAGTTGACTCGCATTGCGCGTTACGGGACATAAAACGAAATAGCTGGTTTCTGTGGCATAAAGTTTCCTTATTTAACCGATTCAGACGGTCAGGATTCCGGAGGAAAAAGTCTTACTTTTATCGCAAACTTACTTTTCTGAAAGTAGAATACAAAGTTCTCATTAGCATTAAGCTGTTTCATCTTGGATAAAATTAATCTCTCAAGGCTTTTAGTTGTTAATAGCGTATTTAAGTAATGTCTTTCCTAAGCAGATAGAAGAAACTAAAATCACCGAAGGAGATTTAATTTGTTTAATCGTTAAGCTGAACAGATAGAATGAAGTTGAGGGGCAATTTATTACAGGGTTTAAAGAAGAAAGATAATTATTCATGACATTTAACAAGGCTAAGGAAGAGTAAAGTGGCTCTAAATAAGTTTTAGGCACTGTTTAAAATCATTAGGGTTAATACTTAAACGATTATCTTTGAGAAGCGTTTGATGAGTAAATTATGGTTTTATAAAATGTTTAAATATAATATACACTGACAATCAAAAAATTCCACCAACTTGTAATATAACTTATTTACTACTACTTATTTTTTCCTGTTTTACAAAAAATGGAATGTGTTAAATCAATTAATTCTTTTTTAGCTGTTTCAGTATCAGTGGCGGTTTGGACCCTGGTAGCGATATCGCTGGAGCGTTATTTTGCGATCTGCAGACCTCTTAAGTCGAGGCGTTGGCAGACCCAGTTTCACGCTTACAAAATGATCACCGTCGTCTGGTTGTCATCGCTGATTTGGAACGCTCCGATACTCTTCGCCTCAAGGTTGAAAGCTATGAAAGAACGAGGTATGTCAGTAAGCTAATTTAGACATAAATTAGTTTTTATACAGAAGAATGTATTGAAATTTGTTAAGAAAAGCATGACATGTTAAACATGTCGCATTGAAACTTTTTTTGTAAAAATGTGAATTAATTGCCTGACTACACCTGGTAAAGATTCGATTACATCCCCAAACCACCACATTCACATTTGCAAACGATACAGCAGTTGTCTCTAGAACTACGATCCTGTCATTTCCACTCGACACCTCCAACAAAATCTCACACTGCTAAAGTCTTGGTGTGAAAAAAAAAATTTACCACAGACAAATCCGCCCACATTACATACACTATCCGAAAAAAAGATCTCCCCTCCAGTCTACTTAAATAATATTCTTCTCCGAACAGTAGACAAGGTGCGGTACCTCGGACTGTATATTGACAAACGTATGACGTGCGAATTCTCACACACGACTGAAATGTGAAGAAGTTATGACACACAGGGCTCTTGCACGACTTCCTGACAAACGTACGTGAGTTAGCCGTAGTTAAGTCGATATGGACTTATGGACTGGAAATGTGAGGTTCAGCCAAATATTATATTTGCGCCATTCAAACTGCCCAAACCCACGAAAAAATATTAAATGCCCTATTTTATGTATCGCACATTACATTATTTTTGTAACTAAACATACAAACTTAGATATTCCTTTCATTCGAAATGAAATCCGTTCCCGTTACCGCAAATTTCACACATCTTTCTCGTAAATCAACACATCAGAAACGTGGCATCCCGACAAATTTTTACGAACCCTCCTCGACGATTGAAGATACAATGGCCGCGAGATCTCCTATGAAGTGCTGGTGATGATAGTGAAAGTGATAATGGCACAAGTATTAATAAACCAGACAGTTTAGTGTCATTGGAGGTTATTGTAGTTTATCAAGTATCACTACTTATAGTACTGAATACATAAATTTTAAATTAGGTTTATGCTGCAGTAACAATCAGGCTGAACTCTTTGCGATCCTTCAGACAATAATATGGCTCCAACAGAAACCTATTTCATCAGAGCATGATGTAATAATTAAGACGTATAGCAGAATATCAATCGAGACGATCAAAAACATGGACATCCGTTGGCCTATACCTGAGCAAATCAGCCATCAGATTTCGAGACGCTGGAAAGTAAGAATTGAGTGGAATAAAACGCAAGTAGGGATCGTTGGTAACGAAATGCCAGACGGATTGGCAAAGAAGCAGTTGGGCTGCACCAAGATCTTATTTGAAGAAGAAATTGAAAGAGATGACTGAGAAGAAATGGTAAGAGGAATGGTATACTAGCACTGAAGGAAGAGAGACAAAAAAATACTTTTCGACAATACATTATGAAAAGAAGCTTGACAATTTAATATTGGACTGCAAGCTAACTCAAATAGCAACAGGATATGGAAGAACTGGATATTACTTGAACAGATTTCAAATTATTGATTATATGCTACCAACTAACTGATCAAACATGGGAACATTTAATATATCATTATTGACTGCTCCAGACTTAACAGATGCGACGTAATATTACACAAAAGGACAAGAATGGTTACAATCAAGAAATATCTTAATTTCACCAGAAATATTAGTATCTTTTAAATAATTTCTAACCAAAATCCCTTTTGAAACATTTTAACTTATCAAAAATAATTATTTCATTTTGCAACTTTGTTTTATTTAAAATTAAATCATTATGTAATTTAACAGCGTTGCAAATTTACTGTTCACTTCATTTTGTTATATTTTCTTATGTTGATTAGTAATAATTTTGGATTTATTCACATTATTTTCGTTACTAAGATAATAATTTTAGTTGTAACATATTAATATTTTACGATGTTGATTGGGATTCGGGTTGTGGTCTTCAAACATACAATGTTTTTATATCAACGCCCAAGCTTTCGACAAGTTTTATTGCCTTCTTCAGGGGATCTACAAAGACATAGGGACATAATCATTTAAATAGTTGTAAATTACAATAATTGTACTTACAGAAACAAAGTCATAATTTAAACACATTACACATTTCACGATATGTATATATACAAACTATATACATATGTAATAAATAAATAAATAAAAACCTCTTCTTAATAGCCTCTTACATATATATGCATTTTTTTAAAACTAACAATACTTAACGATTAGTATTCTTTAGGTACATAAATATCACAGGCGTTTGACTAGAAAATTGTGTTTATCACGTTATCAGGTGGGAGGTTCCCCACACTATCACCTACTGATAACAATCATTTTCCACAATTTTTAATTTCTAATTCCAAATTTTAATTCCACAAGATCTTAATTTCTAGTACATTGGTAATTCTATGTTATCACAGCCTGTTATAATCAATAAATATGTATGCAAGTATTGTTACGATCTTTGGGGGAGAACTGTCTTTTTCTAGAATCCCACTGTATATCACACTCAAATTATACAAAAATGTTTTTAAATTACACGCCATGTTATCCTGATGAATAAATATCATTTCTCTCAAAAGTCTACGACCTGTATTTTGTTCTGAAGCCACAATTTTGACTCCATCGAAGTCAAAATTATGTTTAGTAGCATGTGTATGTTTGGATAGTGCTGTTCTCGGCCTTTCTTCATCACGGCAATCATACTTATGTTGCCGCACACGTTCCGATAAATATTGTTTCGTTCGGCCGTAATACACAGTGGGACATTGTGCACATTTGATGCGATACACTACATTAGATTTTTGTAAAAGAAGTTCTTTACTTTTAAGTTTTGTGTAAAAATTCTTACCCACTTTATTCTTAAATTTGTAAACAATTTTTGCATTATGTATGTTTTTTTTCAACAGTTTTTTTAACTTACTTGATGTTCCAGCTACATATGTAACTGGTTGATAAAGTTTTTGCTCGACAGGTATATTCTCATTCCTTGTTGCTCTTGTCCTGTTTTCCATTAATCTATTTATTAATGATCTTGGGTAACCATTATCTATTAACATAGAGCGCACTTTTTTCTTGTTCTCACTGTGGAACCGATCATCGCTCAATTTCAGAACCAATGAGGTTAAAAACTATGTTAACTTTCATTTGGAAAGAATGGATGGATAAGAAATGTAGCGTGGCCGAGCTGGTTGGCTTTAAATACCAGTTAGTTATTAACTTACCATTATCTCTAATGACAACTAAGTCAAGAAAAGGAAGTTTCCCATCTACCTCAGTTTCCTGTGTAAATTGTAGTGACGAATGGAAAGAATTGAACGCCTTCAAAATGTCCACCAGCTCACTCTTTTTTATAATCAGGAACAAATCATCAACATATTTTTTAAGAAATTTGATGTGAAATCCAAAATTAAGTCCAATCCAATCCAATAACTCATTCATTACAACATCCGCAAGCACCGGTGAAAGAGTCCCTCCCATGGCCACACCTTATTTTTGTATATATATTTGATCTTCATACTTGAAGTATCCATTAAATGTAGTGATTTGTAAGACCTCCAGTATCTTGTGAAAAGGGATGTTGGTAAGGACATCTAACTCTTTTTGTCTCCTCATTAAGATGTAACTTATCATCCTTAGAGGTATACTTGTAAACAATGATTTCACGTCTAAGGATACAAGCAATTCATCATCCTCAATGGTGAGGTCTTTTACAAATGCATTGAGGATGTTATAATGTTTGTCTACATCGAACTTGTTTAATATGTTGCCCACATATTTGGACAGCTCTGTTCCTGGGCTATTAATGGAGGACACTATGGGCCTAAGGTGTATGCCTGATTTGTGTATTTTTGGGAGGCCATATATCTTTGGGCAAACCGCGTTGCTAGTTTTCAACATCATAACAAATATTAGTATTTTTTTCACCATCTACGCGAATTTTTTATACTTGATTTTTAATTAAAATAAATGTTGATTATATTTGTATACTGTACAAGTTATACTTTATGTGACAAGTGTTAGTTTATTAAATAAATGCCCTCATAATTGGGTCATTATTGTGAGGCAAACAAACAGCTCTATCTCTGAAAACATTGGTCGGATTGTTATGCAATTTTCAGGGATCATTCGGAAGTTTTCTAGATGAACCACTATGGATTTTCCAAGCGGATTAAGATATGCGATGGTTAGGTTGGTATGATTAGTGAGGTTAGGTTAGGATGGTTAGGGATGGCGCATGCGGAAATGTTAAGTCACCTACACAGCTGTATCCGGCTTGGTTTCTAGATAATCCCGTACGAATTTAATTCCAAACGGATTGAGACATGCGCACGCGCATCCCAAAATCAGAAAAAGCTATACTGCCGTTTGGCAGAGTTCTTTTAATGATTAACTGACCTTTGCGGGATTGATTACAAAAATTATAGTATGCAGCCAATACTTAAGTTATTTAAAAAATACATTTTTTCATTCGTAAACCTGACTTCTGCGAAGTAATTCCGCAAAACCGTATCCAACAAAATATTTTTGTGTATTATTTGATGATTATATTAACTGGAAAAAAACCAGACTTTCTTATAGTAATTTTTAAAATAAATTGATTTTACCTAATACTGTAACTTTCCAGCTGTAGTTCTAGTAGAAGGTGAAAAATGTTACACTGATAAATTGTCACAAGTCCAGTTTATAGAATAGTTACGGTTATTAACTTTTACATTGTGCGCTGATTAATCCAGCCCTTAAATGATTATAAGTCAAAGTTTATGGAACCGTTTCGATTATCAAACTTTGACATTGTGCGCTGATTACCCAGCACTTAATTACATATAAATTTCAAGCTAAGTCCACCACAATCGATAAAACTCATTAGTTTTGGTTAAAAGCTAGGAGGTTTCTAAAGTAAACTTGAGTGCATTAGGTGCAAATAGTCAAATAATCAAATCAAAATCAGTGAAAAAAATAAATTAAAAATTAATAAAAAAGTTGACCTGAACTAAACGACAAATGATTAAATCTACGTTTATATGAGGTAAAAATAGTAAGTGTGAGTTTTGAA